TGGCTGACACCGCACAGGGGAGAGGCAGTGGCGCATTCTCCATCACTTTCCGGCTGCATCAAATCATAGACGCCGTCTGATTCATACTGCACACCATAAAAACTGGAGCAATATTCTCCCGAGCACCGGCGAGGCTCGTCTCGTCAGGTACAAGCATACAAAACATAGCTACTTTGAGGTCATAGAGCCTGCAAATGATGCATACTTTGGGCTGTTTGGAGCCTCAGGGTTAGTCGTTCTTCGAATATCCTTAAACCACTGCTTCGCCAGGCTAGGGGTGGTATAGGACCTTATATCACCCTAAACCACATCCCTGAACTCTATCCCTAAACCCCATAAACCCTATAAACCCTGGACCCCAGACCCCGAACCCCAAAACCTCGACCTCAAACCCTATAAATCCTAGAAAACCTGGACCGGGCCTGAGGGGCGGCATGTCCACCCAGGTCGTGAGCTGTCGTAGCTCTTTCACGGTGAGAAGACCTCCATCATGACGACTTCGGTTTTGGGAGGTTTAGGGTTTAGGGTTTGGGGCTTACAGACTGTAGGTGAGGTCTTTCTTACGGTTAAGAAGCCTCAATTCTAAACCCCTGAGCATGGCTTCTTGCGCGTCAAGGGATTGGCTTGTTTGGCGTGGGGCGGCGGGCGTCCCTAGTGTAGGACTCCCAAACCATAACACCTAAGCATATAATCGACGTGAAGCTTTGGAGGTTCTTCGCCACCAAAAACTCTCAACCCCATAAACACTAAACCCTAACACTGAACCCTAAACTGTAACCCCTAAACCGGCCCGGCGTGGCCGGCAGATTTGTGCTTCAGTGACGCCCACGGCTTTGGAGGCTGATGGTTAGGGGCTAAGGGGTTTGTCCTGAACCCAAAACCCTAAACCTACACGCTAAAGGTTGGATAAGCCCTGCGACACCAACCTCCAGTGGTTTGTCAGGGCTTACTCACCCAGCTCTAAGCCCTCTAAGCCCTCAACCCTAAAGCCCTCGAAGGGTTTAGGGTTGAGGGTTTGGGGTCTAGGGTTTAGGGTTTAGGGTTTAAGCCCCGAGTGGCTCAAGTTGTGAAGGTCCAGCTGGTAGTAGTCCAACTGATAGCGCTCCTGGGACTTTCCACTATGAGGGTGCATTGAGGCCTCTAAGCCAGGGGCGTAGGGTTTAGGGTTTAGGGTTTAGGGTTTAGGGTTTAGGGTCCAGGGTTTAGGGTTTAGGGTTTAGGGTTTAGGGTTCATGGTTTAGGGGCTTCGCGTGCGCTGTGACGAAAGCTTCAGGAAACCCTAGATGGAAACCCTCAGGCCAAGGACCTATGAGCCCTGTATGTGCTGGGTTCTTCGGGACCCTCTCGTGGCAGTGAACCTCGCAACCCGAAGCCGTAAACCCAAAGACAAAACCCTTAAACGCTTAAACCCTTGAACACGTAAACCCTTAAACAAGTAAACCCACCCTAAGCCTAAACCCTACACCTTTACACCCAATCCCGTAACCCTTAAACCCTACACCTCAAAGCCCTAAACTGTTTGGGGCTTGAGATTAGGCACTCTTGGGGGTTGTGGGTTTTCGGGTTACCCTAAACCCTAAACAACCCTACAGCCTAAACCCTAGACCCTAAAACCGAAGCAAGCAACCCAACAGACCCCAACCTTAAAACACTGTCGAGGTGCAGGGGTTTAGGGCTTGTAGGGTGGTAGAGTAATTCGGACCGCTTGGTTTAGGGTTCAGGGTTTCAGGGTATAGAGTCCCTATACGCCCTCAACCCTCAATCCTAGCTCCTACACCCTCAACCCAAAAAACTCAATCCTAAACCATGCACCCTGAACACTAAACTTCACTAAGCCCGAACCCCAAAAACCTCAACCCTGAACCCTGCACCCGAAAGCCCCTAAACCCTAACCCTGAACTCTGTAAACCAAAAAAACCAAAACCCCAAAACCCTAAAACCCTAAAGCCGAAAAAACCCAAAGACCTATAACCCTAAAACCCTAAAACCCCTAAAATCCTAAAACCCTAAAACCCTACACCCTAAATCCTGAACCCTCAAACCCTCAAACCCCAAACCCTCAACTCTGAACCTTAAACCCTAAACCCTAAGACCTAAACCCTAAACCCTTTCGACCCTAAGCCCTAAGCCCTAAGCCCTAAGCCCTACGCCCTCAGCCCTCAGCCCTAGACCCTAAACCCTAAACCCTAAACCCTAAACCCTAAACCCTAAACCCTAAACCCTAAACCCTAAACCCTGACCGCCTTTCGAACCAAGCTGCGAGCCAGGCAGAGAGCTTCGCAGCTGTCACGGGCTTGGCCAGCTCCTCAGAGTCCTCCCCGGGTTTAGGGTTTAGGGTTTAGCGTTAGGGTTTAGGGTTTAGGGTTTAGGGTTTAGGGTTTAGGGTTTAGGGTTCAGGGTTTTGGGGTTTAGGGTTTAGGGTGTAGGGTTTAATTAGGGTTTAGGGTTTAATTAGGGTTTAGGGTTAGGGTTTAGGGTTTAGGGTTTAGGGTTTCGGGTTTGGGGTTTAGGGTTTAGGGTTTAGCGCGTAGAGTTGAGGGAGTTTGGAGCGTCGGGTTCAGGGCTTAGGGCTTAGAACTTCGGCTTCAAGCCCGCCTCATCCCAGTTTTCCCCTACACTGCAATCAGAGCACCGTGCCCCCAAATACGCGGAGGGTCTAGCGACTCAACCCTGAATCATGGGTTCCACTACTACCCCCGTCAACACTACCGAGGTTCCACCCTTAAAGAACCTCAATTATTAGGCTCCATTGTCCTTAAATAGTCTTTATTATGGGGGGAATCTAGGGGGGGGGGTAGTATAGAACCCCAAACCCTAAACTTCATGGCCCTATGGTAGAAGGAGAACCTAGAGGGGGTAGTGGGGAAACCCATGACTGAATCCTCAGGCCTTTTCCCTTTCGTTTCGGGAGTTCGAAATGGCCCGGCAGTGGATTCAACATGAAAGCCTAAACCCTAAACCCTAAACTCTGACCCTAAACCCTAAACCCTTGCGAAGACCCTAGACCCAAACCTCAACCCCCAAGCCCTAAATTCCCACAAGGTAGGCTTCCTTTTCAGGTCAGACTTCCCGTTGAAGAGGCTGTTGTCGTATGGGGCCATCCCTTCGGAGGACTCTTAGAACAACCCCCATATGGTCAGTTCTCTGAATTATGGTCCCTTTTCGGGTACCCTAACTAATAGGGGGCCGCCTTAGAAAAAGGAGCCCCCCAAGGGACCGAAGTTGAGAGAAATGAGCATGTAAGGCTTCGGTTGCAGGGTTCAGGGCTGTCGGGTGGTAGGGTTGTAGGGTTCAGATAGGAGATATCGGGCCCTGGGCTTACTTTGGAGGCTCAAGGGTACCTAGAACGACAATATATACATATATCTACTTATGACCTACTTAGGGGACTTAGGGGGCGTATTAGTACAGCTAGACTTGTGGTTATAAGTAGCCCTGAACCTCCAAGTACGTACGGTTTTTCAGGGTCTCCACAAAGATCTCCGAAACCCTAAGCCTATGATCCTGCACTCCAATCTGAAATCCCTCTCCCTCCCCGGCCCCGCCCCACCCTAAACCCTAAACCCTAAACCCTAAACCCTAAACCCTACACCCTAAACCCTAAACCCTCAAGGGTTGTAGCCGGGTCCTTGCAGGCCAAAGCAGCCTCCCACTGCTTCAATTGCTGATTCGTAGGGCTTGGGTTTTTGGGTCCGCAAGGGCACCAACTACCAGGGTGAGTTATGAGGGTTTTGGGCTTATGGTTTAGGGTTCGATTTTTAGGGTTTATAATCCCCAGAAACCTATAAAAAGCCGGGTCAAGGGGTGATAAGGTATAACCGCCCATCCTGGACCTCCAGGTTACAGCACCTCTGCCTATCCGCAGGCTCCAAAGACTGTAAAGGAAAACATTTCTGCCTTTTCGCAGGCATCGCCAAGTACAGCATGCTTGCCTTTTGCAAAGCTCCAAGTTCGAAATCCTGCATTTCTGCTTCTTCGCAGGCTCCAAAACTATAAGATGCAGCGTTTCTGCCTGCTAATTTGCAAGCTGCAAATATGGAAAGTTCTGCGTGCCCGCAAGTTTCAAACACTGCAACATACAGCATTTCTGCCCGCTTCATTGCAAGCTGTAAATACGCTGCAGTACGGCAGTTCTGCCTGTTTACAGGCTTGCAATACGCTAAAACCTGGGTTGACTTCAACTTGTCGTGGGATTTGTAACGGTGTAATATTGAAAGCATGGTTTGGTCGGTTTGATTTTGCCAGGGGGGGGGGGGGGGGGGGGGCGGCTCCCCCCCTCCCCCAGTTGCAGCCTGTTTGCTGTTGCCGGGCCCTATCTTGGAGCTCGGCCTTGAAAAAGATGTTTCCTACTCTTCTGTTTGATTCCCCTTGCAAAGGTTGGGGCTGTCATGACGCGAGTGCAATTGGGGGGTTCTCAATACTTGGATCTCGCCCGTGCGCAGACGATGATGCTGTCTCTTGCAATGTTGAGGCCCCTAGCTTCTGTCCTCCTTTCCATTCCTCCCTCCCGGCTTTCCGTTCTGCTCTCTTCCCTTCCCTTCTGTTCCCTTGACTTCCCTTCAAGGTTGCCCAGTAACCTAGGGGTAAAAAGGGTGCCCTTTTTACCCTAAAGGGGTTTGCGAGGGAGCCTAAACCCCCCAAAAAGGGAATAAGGGTACTACTGGGCATCCTGGCCTTCCTTTTCCTCACTTCCAGAAGGATTTGATGCTTTGGTTTCTTGCTGAATCCTCTTTCATTGTTGTTGATCCTGATTTGACTTGTTGATCCCCATCCTTCGCACTTCCCCGAAGCAAAGCCGTGCCCGGTCTTCTTCTGATTCTGAGGAGGGAGGCCTGAGAGGGTTTCGGGCTTAGGGCTTCGGGCTTCGGGCTTGGGGCTTCGGGCTTCGGGTGCCAGCAGAGGAGCCCGCGCTGTCTTGCCTGCTGCCGCTTGACTTGCGACTGGGCCGCTGCTCATCCATGCAGGAAGCTGCAGGCAGTCCTGCAGCCTCCGCCTCGGGGCTACACGAACTTCTGCAATGCCAGCTGTACACTCAGCGCTTCTTCGTCTTGACGAAGCCGTGGGAAATCCAACCAGCTGGTTGTGCACCTCACCACCTTCCTGCACTTGGGACAGCCCCTGGGCCGCAACCTCAGGCGGTCTGCGTCGGAGAGGCCGACGAGGTTGCGCGTAGGGTTGAAGGCGCTGCCTCCTTCCCGAAAGCCTGCATACACCCCCATGAAAGGTCAAACGCCCACGGCCAGCAAACCATTTAGGGCTTAGGGGAGGTGAACCCTGAACCCTGAACCCTGAACCCTGAACCCTAAACCCTAAACCCCAAACCCTAAACCCTACACCCTAAACCCTACACCACCAAGCCTCAGCCTCCCGCAGCGCCCTGCGGAGCTCCACCAGGACCTCCGAGGAAACATGTGACGGGCCACGTTGCAAGGGTTTAGGGCGATCGTTTAGGGTTTAGGGTTTAGGGTTTAGGGTTTCGGGCTAGGGTTTAGGGCTAGGGTTTAGGGTCTAGGGTCTACATCCCGAAAACCTATAACCCTAAAGCCTAAAACCCGAAAACCCTAACCCTAAACTCGAAACCCTAAGCTACAAGCCCTAAATGCTGGACCCAGGCGGCTGTGGGCTTCGGTTTTAAAAATCAGGGTCTATAGGGATTAGTTTATATATATATATATATATATAATAGAGAGAGATATTTAGGGTTTAGCGCCTAGGGTTTGGAGAGCGGTTTTAGGGTTTGGAGGGTTTCTGGTGCACGGTTGAAGCTTTCAGCACAAAATGTGAAAACAAAACAACAAGTGAGGCCTTTGGGGCTTAGGGTTTTGGGGGGTGTAGGGTTTAGAGTTTCGGGTTTAGAGGGCTTTTAGGGTTGGAGAGCTTGGGGTCCATGGTTTAGGTGTTTCAGACCCTTGCAGGGCTTAGAGGTTAAGGGTTGGGAGGGCTTAGGGTTTAGGGTTTAGGGTTTAAGGTTTTAGGGTTTAGGGTTTAGGGTTAGGGTCTACGGCGTATATAGGTGCTTAGGACATGGGTTTGTCTGGCTTAAGGGCTTAGAGCTGTTGTGGGTTTGGAGGGTTCGGGGTCTGTGGTTTAGGTGTTTAGGCTTAGGGTCTTGAGATGTTTTAAGCGTTTAGGTCTACTTCTTAGGTGATTAGGTTAAACCCTAAACCCTAAACCCTAGACCCTAGACCCTAGACCCTAGGCCCTAAACCCTAAACCCTAAACGGGGTCCAGAGTGCTTGGGGCAGACGCTACTTTTCGGAACTGGGAAAGAAGGCCCGCAACTGCGAAGTATCCAGTCCGCTGAAATCCAAGACCAGCTTGCCCGGATTCCTTTTGGGGACCTGGCCGCCGGCAAGGTTTAGGGTTTAGGGCTAGGGTTTCGGGATTCTGGGTTTGTGTTGGGGGTTTTGGAGTCTTGGGGTTTTGGGTCTTTGGTGGTTCTGGGATGCGTTGAGTTTTTTTTTTGGGACCTTAGGGAGTCCTTGGAGGGACTCATGAGACTGATGTCCTGGGGATGGACAGAGCGCACAAGCGACTCAGTGGCTCTTCTCGTGGCCGGCTTCTCTAGACCCAGGTAGTATAGGGGCCTGAAGAATTAGAATAGGGCCTTGGGGGATATTGTAGTTTGATCACAAGGGACCCTAACAAATAATACAAGCGCGTTTTTTTCCGACCCCTTTGGTACTTTGAGGCCTTAAAATTGGTATGTTCACTATGAAGAACGATAAGGGGGAACATCCCAAACCTATTTCGCAAACCCGGTGCAAACTCGGCCCCAAACAGCTAAAGAACCCTTGTATGGGGGACTTTTGATTCCTCGTGGTGTTTGATGCAGCCTGATTGGGATTGAAAAAAACTCAGAAGGTCTTATCAAAAGAGTGTATACCCTAAGTGTATGGTTTCCGCTTGGGGTTTGGTTTTGGAGGGCTTAGGTCTAATTCTTGGGGTGCAAGTTGGGATTTAGGCAGCCTTGATACCTGACGTCTTTAGCGAGTTTGAAGTTTGAAGGGGCCATTAAGAATACTCATATTTAGTTCTTTTTGGTGGGCCTTTTACTAAGTTAAGAATTCGAGTTTTTCATTATTCTCATTCGTATTATGAATGGGGGAAAAAGGGCGTCAATCGGGCGGTCGCAGCCTGCCAAGGTATATTGACTTTGTCCAGCAACTGCCTGGATGGGAAGGGCTTGCCAGGCTTCCAAGAGGCAATTCGGATCCCTGCGAAAGCACCACACAACCCTAAACCCTAAACCCTAAACCCTAAACCCTAAACCCTAATCCCTAAACCCTAAACCCTAAACCCTAAACCCTAAACCCTGAACCCTGAACCCTAAACCCTAAACCCTCAGAGCCCCAAACCCCAAACCCTGAAAGCCTGAACTGTCTAGACTCTAAACCAGGGTTCAGCGCTCAAGGTCCCTTCATTGCAGGAGTGTCCGTGAATTTCGTACCCTGGCGTCCTGGGTTTAAAGGTTTAGGGTTTGGGGCTTGGGGTTTATAGGGTTTAGGGTTTGGGGCTTCGGGTTTCGAGCGTAAGGTTTAGCGTTTAGGGTTTCCAAACACAGCAACACGCAAGCCTCAGCCCCTTAAGCCTCAACCCCCCCCCCCCCCCGAACCCAAGAACCCCCCCCCCCCCCCGCTCCCCCCCCGCTCCCCCCCCGCTCCCCCCCTGCTCCCCCCCCGGGCAAAACCCAAAACCCAAAACCCTAAACCCCAAACCCCTAAACCCTAAACCCCAGATGCCTCCCAGGATCTAGTAGATTTCATCACCCTAAACCGTCACGATAACTCACCCCAGGGGGGTTTAGGGTATAGGGTTTGGGGTTTAGGGGTTAGGGTATAGGGTCCCTAAACTTTACCATAAGCCAGGGGCTTAGTGTTTGGGTTCTTTCCTGAGCGCAAGAGCAGCCTAAAGCTTTCGACGCCGAAGGTACTGGATGCCGGCCATCATGTTTGAATCTGACCACGCTTTGGAGTGACTGCGCTGCCCAGTGATCACCTGCACATACACCATTGGAGCTTCGAGGCGACCAGGTTGCACGAAGTAAATCAAGCTTCTTAGAAGTTGCTCCAGAGGCATTGCCCCTTCAGCTCAGGTTGTTAAGCAAGAGCAGCTTCTCTAGCATGAACAAAAGCAGATAGTCTAGTACGGAACACCCGGTGTGATATGCCTGCACCCTAACCCTTAAACCCTAAAACCCACCCATACTTTAACTGACTTTGGTTGAGGGTTTAGGGGGACTCAACAGCAAAGATACTATTGAACTTTTGTCAGAATGATACTAAACCCTGAACCCTGAACCCTGAACCCTGAACCCTGAACCCTGAACCCTGAACCCTGAACCCTGAACCCTGAACCCTGAACCCTAAACCCTAAACCCTAAACCCTACACTGGGACGGGCCTCAAATCGAGCTGAGGAGGTGTCCGGCAGCTTTGAGTCCAAGCACCCGGGCACTTCCTCGGCCAGCCACCAAAGCACCGCCAGCATTCCGGAGCCGACCGAATGCTCGTGGAGATCGAGGTGCATACCCTTCCTGAGGGTTTAGGGTTTAGGGTTTAGGGTTTAGGGTTTAGGGTTTAGGGTTTAGGGTTTAGGGAGGGTTCAGGGGGTTGCTGTTCAGGGTTTTGGGCTTAGGGTCGAGTTTCTTCGAGCAATCTTCCTTCAAGAAGCAGGCTGCTCCAGGCTAGACGTGATGCACATCTGAGAAACCCTAACCCCTAAACCCTAAATGTGCTTCCTGGCCACTGCCGCACCATGTTTGGCCACAGGGGACCAGGAGCACTCAGGGCTTTCCGGAACCTGGGGGGGGGGGGGGGGGGAGGGGGGGTGCATACTTGAAGGCTCTTGGGTCTAGGGTAGGTAGGGGTTTAAGTTGGGCAACTATGGCTATGGCCTGTAGGGTACTTAAAAACAAGTGCCCATGAATCTCCAACTCTGGGACGGCCCTAGAAAAGCCTGAAAAATCTGCAGGCGATGTTATCGGGTTGTATGTTCCCCTTATACTCAGAGCTCCTTAATAGGGATTAGGATAGGGGATATACGATAATCCCGATTAAGGACTGCCAGTAGACGGGGGAACATCCCAACCCTAAACGTTCCAAATCAGCAGAAGAACATGTCGAAGCTCATCGGCTCAGTGTAGATGGCGTCCAAGAGCTGGTGCAGGGCACAGGGGTATCGTGGGCCCCCCTTATACTTCCGTCCTAAGACAGACCCTCTACAAACCCTAAACACCCTAGACCCTGAAACCCTGAACCCTAAACTTAAACACTGTAGACCTGAGCCGTCAACCTTGCTCGTACACTTAGCCGAAGGGATTCAAGAGTGGAAGCCCGGCTGTTTTGTGTATGCAGGAAACAAGGGGGAGGGGGGGGGGGGGGGGGGGGGGGGAGGGGGGGGGTGGGGGGGGGCGGGGCGTGGGGGGGGGGGGGGGGGGCCGTGAACCCTAAACCCTAAACCCTAAACCCTAAACCCTAAACCCTAAACCCTAAACCCTCAACCGGTTTCGGGATGTGGTGGCCCAGGGTTTTCTGGAAGTTTAGATGCAAGGGAAACGATTAATTAGGGGCATTTTTTCCGCCGCAAGACGTGCCAGCAATGCCATTCTAGAGGAGTCAGGTTTAGATTACCTTAGGGAGCCAGACTGGCTTGGCCCAGTGCATCGCTTGCCGCTACCGTAGGAGGGTGCATGGAGGTTCGGGGTTTTGTTTCAACAAAAGCACAAAATACGGACATCGAGAAGATTGACCAACTTTAAGGGTAGCCTACTTGGAGGTTCGTGGGTACTTATAAGCAGAACTAGGCTAACAACCTTACTTGGGGCACTTACAACCCTAATTAGAAGTACCAACGAACCTTCAAGTAGTGCCACCTTCCTGCCTGGATGTAGGTATCAACGCCAGGCGTGATGTCGAGGGATTCCATCTCTGCAAACAGGGCCAGGCTACTTTGCCACATGCGGCTCCGTCCGCACGCATTCACCGCTGAGTTATACCTTGGTGAACAACGTAAAACCAAAAAATCCAGATCCCACACCCTGCACTACAACCCCTTTTAACGGCATATGGAACATTTACATCCTGAAGGGTTCATATAGCCCTCAAGGCACGTGATTTCGTTAGGCTTGCCCTGTACAGCGAGCATATCCGCAAGGAGTTGCAAGGCAGACTCCCACTGCCCGCTTGTCGCGCAAGCAGCGATTGCTGCATTGAAGTCCTCCCTAGAAGGCTCCAGCTTGTGCGAAGGCATCTGAAGCAGCAATTCGCAAGCCCGCTGCCACTCCCCAGCCCTACCGCAGAGCGCGATGCCAGAGTTCCACAAGCCTTGGTCAAGAACCTGGTCGCTGGCCATCCTGGATTGCTGAGACGGAACCTAAAAGTCAGCTACACTGTATGGATAGGTTTTCTGATCGTGGTAGCTTCAGATTACAAAAGTTCACTATCGGCAACCCAGCATCAAGTCCGCAAATATGTCCAGCCCCATCTGGAACTGTCCCCCACGCGCACAGGCAGCCATGCAGGAGGCGTAGGTGAACTCATCAGGAACCAGACCGAACGATGGCATCTGCGAGAGCAGGTGCAATGCCAGATCCCATCGATCTGCACATTCGCTTATGCAGGTGTTCATGCTGGGCCTTGGCGATACAAGTTCCCGATGCTCCGCGAGCGCAACAGTCACGAATTTGCTTCAAAACAAAGTGCTCCCCGAAATTCTGAAAACTCTAAGCCCTGAATCCTATACACCCACATTCTATACACCCTAAACCCTAATTCCTAATGCAAACCCTGAACCCTGAACCCTAAACCCTAAACCCTCAACCAACGCTTAACCCGAAACCCTAAATCCTAAACCCTAAGCCCTAAGCCCTAAACCCTAAGCCCTTAACCCTAAATCCAAGGAGCAGGTCGGGGGCCACCTCCGCCTGGCGCAGCACGGCCAGCAGAAGGTCAGGGGGAGCGCTCCAGTGCTTCGACGCTCTCCCCTCCGGCGTTACACCTAGGTGGGCTCTTGAAACCCAAGAAGGGTTTGGGGTTTAGGGTTTAGGGTTTAGGGTGTAGGGTTTCGGGAAAATAGAAAGTCTCCCAAGGTCCTACCCAGAAACTCTTTTTCAGCGCATGGATGGCTGCGGTAAAGCCTTCTCGTTCTTCGGCTTAGGGTTTAGGGTTCAGGGTTTAGGGTTGAGGGTTTAGGGTCTAGGATTTAGGGTTTAGGGCTTAGGGATTAGGGTTAAGGATTTATAGGGTTTACGGTTTAGGGGTTAGGGTTTAGGGCCTTCGAACATACGTGCACGTGTGCCTAATGACTCAGGTGCACTTTCCCTCTTCTTGTCTGGGCATTTGCAGCTGGCTCTTGGCTCAGTTTAGGTGTTGGGGCTTGGGCCGGGCAAGCCCCCCCCCCCCCCATAATCTTTGCAGTTTAGGGTTGTTTAGGGTTTGGTTTAGGGTTTAGGGTTTAGGGTTTAGGGTTTAGGGTTTAGGGTTTAGGGCTTAGGGTTTAGGGTTTAGGGTTTAGGGTTTAGGGTTTAGGGTTTAGGGTTTAGGGTTTAGGGCTTAGGGCTTAGGGCTTAGGGCTTAGGGCTTAGGTTAGTTTAGGGCTAAGGGTACAGACGACAGAGCCAAAGCGGGCAGGCGAGAAGCTGACTTCGTTTGGCGAGACCCGGGCTGCTGGCATCTCTGCGAGAAGATAGAGAGCCCACTCCCACATGCCGCCTTCATCACCTTGTCTTCGTTAGGGTTTAGGGTTTAGGGTTTAGGGTTTAGGGTTTAGGGTTAAAGTATAGCACTCCAACACCCAGTTTAGGGCTTCGCGGTTGTGAGGAATGGGCCATACTAGCCGGACGGAAGAACTCGCATGTAAATGGGTTCCATTGTAGGCCAAGTACTTCGAAAGCAGGCGCTGGCTAGTTTCACAGCATCAACTGCAGACTGTTGTGTTGACATTACTTGGCATGTTATCTGATTCAGCGGTTTAGGGTTTAGGGTTTAGGGTTTAATGCTGACAAGGGCTTGTCATCACGCCAAGCCTGGCATACCGTACACGCGAAGCCCTAAGTCCCTCGTGAAGCCCCAAACCGAGACCCAGCAACCTCCAAACCGAAGTCGGCAAGGTGGCTGAGATAAGGTTGTGGACTTTAAAAGTTTAGGGTTTAGGGTTTAGGGTTTAGGGTTTAGAGATAAGGTTATGGACTTTAAAAGTCTGGGGTGTTTAGGGCTTAGGGTTTACCCAAAGGCTCCTATGTAGTACCTTTTTGGGGTAGTATGCTAGAATCCCTATAACTAACCCAAAAAGGGACTACATTAGAGACTCCAGGTAGGGCTTAGGGTTCAGGGTCTCAAGTGCGTCCTTGCCAGAGTTCTGGGGCTGGAGGGGTGGGGATGCGTAGTGACGTGTAGATATCAGTTTTCACAACAACTCATCAAAAACGATATGCGGGCCCTGAAAGGAGTCCCCACCCTAAACATTACACCAAGCCCAGAATCAACTGGCACAAGGTAATACAAGAAGAAGACTTTCACATACCTTGGGAACTAACTTAATTTTGAGAGTGGTGTATGGTACACACAAAACCTGGATAGTACGGCGGGTCCTTGGACCAAAGAAACTCCGTGAACACACTGCGAATAGCCACCTTACCCTCAACCCCGGCCCCAAAACCTTAACCCTAAACCCTCAACCCGCAACCCTAAATCCTACACCCGCGAGTCCTCAGACCCTAGAATCCCTAAACCCCAAACACAATAAACCCTAAACCCTGCACCCTAAAATCCGAAAACTCATGACAGCAAAGTCGCACGCGCTGATGCTCGTGTTGAAGCTGATGCTGTCAGGCACCAAAGCCTGGAGTGCGGTTAACTGTTTATGGTTTCAGGCTTTAGGGTTTGGAACTCAAACTGAGCTACCATAGTCAGGAAACCATGTATATGTGTACTTGTGTAACTTCCCCAACATCCAGGAGCATAATGATTAATAGAACCGTTGAGGACATGATTTAGATCCTTGGAAATACAGGGCTACCTAAACCCTAAACCCTAAACCCTAAACCCTAAACCCTAAACCCTAAACCCTAGACTGCCTTAACACCAACCTAGCAGCTGCCAGGGGCATGGTCGACATCAGGTAGATCGCCATCCTCCAGTTGCCACCTGCGGCACCAGGGTGGATTTAGGGCTTAGGGTTTAGGGTTAGGGTTTATAGGGCTTAGGGTTTAGGGTTTAGGGTTCAGGGTTTAGAGTTTAGGGTTTAGGGTTTAGGGCTTAGGGTTTAGGATTTCCATAGTTCCCAAGCCAGCAACACAGTCTGGCACAAACCAGCAAATCGGTCTGGCAAAACCCAGAGACTCCAATACCCCTTAAATGAGGAATGATCCTTAAAGTATAAGAAGTTTCCTTATATGGTTTAAGGACTATTCCTTATAATGAAGGGGTATATTGGAGCCTCTGGGAAGCACACCAGCCTGTCTTGCAGGCGCTGAGGGCGGCGTTGAAGCCCACTTCGTTAGCTGGAACTCTTCCGGCTGCCATATCGGCGAAGCATTCCTGACTTGCCCTAAGGGTCAAAGGTACATGGACCCTTAGACTGACAAACAGATCGAGCTCCTCAATCTTACCTTGCTATCTATGCTAGCCAGGGTTTCGGGTTTTGGGTTTCGGGTTTGGGGTCTAGGGCATGTGAAGCTACAGTTCAGTGACTCAAGAGCGAGAGCTGCAGCAGTATGGCAGAGATTAACACCCTGGAGCTCGCGCCCTCCCTGAAAGAGTGAAGGGTCTTCAGTAGCTAAAGGCTCCTATGTAGTACCTTTTTGGGGTAGTATCCTAGAACCCCCTATGACTAAACCAAAAAGGGACTACATTAGAGACTCCAGGTAGCATGAACCTCAAGCTGCTACGGCCCAATTGCCCAAGCCCACCTGCCCTCTCCCAAAAAAAAGGCAAGCAGAAACGCACGAACACAAAAACAAAACACAAAAATATAAGATGCAAAAAACGGTAATGACCATGGGCTATTCTTAATTTAGAGAACTATAGGCACATGAAAAGCCTTTTCAGTTCGCCGCAAGTCACCAAAGCTTCCTGCCACCGCCCACTCGTCTCACAGGCGCTGATTGCGGCGCTGTAGCTATAAGCGTTGGGGGCCGTCCTGTGAGTGAGATACAAGGGTGCTGCCGCAGCCTGAAATCCAAACCCATACCTGGCTCAGAAAAGCGCAAAATGCCTACAAAATCGGTCTTTGGCAGAGCAAAACTCCAAAATCAGAGTCCAAACTTGAAAGCCCAAACCCCTAAACCCCAAACGGAGCCATTGGCGTAGCTTTGGCTAGCCTGGAACGACCGGCGCCCTTTGAGGCAAGCCGCTTCGGGTTGAATTAGGGATTAGGTTTGAATAAGCTGCCTGGACTCGCCAAAGCCCTATGCATATATGCCCAAAGACCTATGAGGACCGGTATAAGCGGGAACATCCCAACCTAAGATCTACGAACCCTAAACCACGAACCCGCAAGCTTAAAGTCCTTGAGCATTCAGGCCCCAGGGGTTGAAACTAAGGAAGACGGGCTCCGTTTCAAAAAGCTAGGCTGGCCCTTGGAAAGCCCTCTGAGACAACATATACCAACTCCTGAACAAGGCCAATCCCTAAACCTTAGTTTTCGGGGTTTAGGGTATTCTTGTGACTTGCCTGTGGCGTTGCTTCGGTTTTTAAACGTCTGCATAGGCTGTATGAGGGATTTAGGTTTAGGGTTTAGGGAATAGGGCTTAGGGTTTAGGGCTTAGGGCTTAGGGTTTAGGGTTTAGGGTTTAGGGTTTAGGGTTTGAGGGCGGAGTCCTGGCTGTCTTCATGTCCGAGAGCACGGCGAGGGCAGCCTCCCATTGCTTGCCTTTGGCGCACGCGTTGACCGCGGCGCTGAACGGGTACACGCTTGGCAGGGCCTGGATGTAGGTTTAGGGTTTAGGGTTTAGGGTTTAGGGTTTAGGGTTTAGGGTTTAGGGTTTAGGGTTTAGGGTTTAGGGTTTAGGGTTTAGGGTTTAGGGTTTAGGGTTTAGGGTTTAGGGTTTAGGGTTTAGGGTTTAGGATGTACAGCGCACACCAAACCTACGAGTGACCCGACCCCACCGCCCCCGGCCCCGCGCCCCATGAAAAACAACAACTCACCTTAAACCCTAAGCCCTCAGCCCTAAACTCTAAACTCTAAACTCTAAACCCTGACCCCTACACCCTAAACCCTGAAACCTGAACCCTGAATCGCAAACTTGGTAGCTGCGAGGGAGATCTGAGGTTTACTGCAGGGGTGTCGATGGAGAAGGGTTTCCCTAGAGTTGATATCTCTGACAGCACCGACGTCCCTCCTCGGCTGCTGCTTCTGCTGCTTCTGCTGCTTCTGCTGCTGCTGCTGCTGCTGCTGCTGCTGCTGCTGCTGCTGCTGCTGCTGCTGCTGCTGCTGCTGCTGCTGCTGCTGCTGTCGTTGCTGTTGTTGTTGGTAGTGGTGTTGTTCGTCTGTGGGGGTAGTTCATTATGCATGTTCTGATTCTGCAGAAAGGTGTAAGACGCGGCCTGAACCCTAAATCCCGCCCCAAAGCCCCAAACCTCCGAGCCTTCTTGGCGAAGATGTCTGCCAAGACCTGCAACGCTGTGGGCCACTGCCAGGACTCTGCGCCTCGGAAATGAAGTGTGTCGTGTTGAGGTTTAGTGGGTTTAGGGTTTAGGATTTAGGTTTAGGGTGTAGCATTTAGGGCTTAGGGTTTGAGTAGGGTTTATGCATGCAGTCTGGGTTTAGGGTCGAGGCTAATTGGGTTTAGGGTTCATGGCTCAAGGTTTGGCAATTTGGCAATAGAGTAGACACCCAGAAATCAAAGATTCATAGTGCTCACGGGCCCAGCCACAGCCATTGATGACCTGCACCAGGCGACGTCAGGGTTGGTCCAGGGTGTGTGTTTAGGGCTTCAGACTGGGTTGCTCAATAACGTCGGGTAGAAAAAATGGATGTTCTTTGCGTTTGAACGGATTTCTGGGAGATCCGATTTCCGAAAGTATGGGAAGAATCAGAGCACCACTGGGCATACTAGTCAGGGCTCAGGGTCCGGGGTAGACAGTGCAGGGTGAGGGTTTGCGGGCTCAGGGTCCCTAAACCCTAAACCCTAAACCCTAAACCCTAAACCCTAAACCCTAAACCCTAAACCCTAAACCCTAAACCCCAAACCCTAAACCCTAAACCCTAAAGGCTCAGGGTCTACAGATTGTCGAAGTTCCTCTTCAGTCCCTGGGGATCGACCGAACGTGTTTATCAAAGGGTAGTGAGATGGGCCCTAAACCCTAAACCCTAAACCCTAAACCCTAAACCCTAAACCCTAAACCCTAAACCCTAAACCCTAAACCCTAAACCCTAAACCCTAAACCCTAAACAGCCTTACCTCCTTGAAAGGGTTCTGAAGCGGCCCTTGGGTTGTAGGGGGTTTCTAATGGGTGCCCTTTCTCCAAGTGCACATATGAAGGGACCATGCAGCCACCCTAAGATCTAAAGGGTTTAGGGTTTAGGGTTTAGGGTTTAGGGTGTAGGGTTTAGGGTTTAGGGTTTAGGGTTTAGGGTTCAGGGTTTAGGATTTTGGGTTTAGGGTTTAGGGAAGATCGAGATGCTGTCGCTTGTTGAAACTTTCTTCTTCGGGGCCTGCAGGGCGGTCTGGGCTCATGTGGGGTCCTTTTCGTTAATTCACCCCAAGCCCGCAGGGCGCGAGGTTTAGGGTTTAGGGTGTACAGGGTGGGTTTAGGGTTTAGGGCCAGTTTAGGGTTTGAGGGGTTTCCGAAAATCGGGACCCTAAACCCTAACCCTAGACCTGAACCCTGAACCCTAAACCCTTTTTGGGCGTCCCGGCCCCTTTAAGGGGATTTTATTCTACTTAGGAGCAAGGGTACCCTATTTAGGGAAATACCCATATGAAGAGTTTGGGGGGGGGGGGGGGAGAACCCTTTTTAGGTGTTCCGAATAATGGTAAGATGAAAGGCTTTGGGTAATTTACTGGGATAATCTGTTTTGGGGAAATGCACCGAATCGCCTTTCCTCAAGTACCCTTAGCTCCTGCAAGAGTTCTTGGGGGGGGGGGGGGTTCAGGGGGCTTGAAACTTAGCAACCCTGAACCCTAAACCCTAAACCCTGAACCCTGAACCCTGAACCCCGAACCCTGAACCCTAAACCCTAAACCCTAAACCCTAAACCCTAAACCGTAAGCCCTAACCCTAAACCCTAAACCCTAAACCCTAAACCCCAGCTTTGGCCGCTGGGCCTCGCAAAAGGCCCTCTGATCTCCTCGAGGGTCCAAGCCTTGCAGCAGGAAGATGGCCTGTTGCCAGTCCTTAGCGGTGGAGGACCCCTAGAGGGTTTAGGGTTTAGGGTTTAGGGTTTCGGGTTTAGGGTTTAGGGTTAGGGATTAGGGTTTAGGGTTTAGGGTTTAGGGTTTACGGATACTTGGAGGTTCAGGGTACATAATAACCAATTATAACTGTACTTATAACCAACTTAGAAGCCCCTTAAGTTCCCCCATGCGGTTATAAGTACAGATATAAGTACAGTTCAAATTGGTGTTTGAGTACCATGAACCTCCAAGTAGGGCCTCAACCCGTAGCCCCCTAAGCTTGGGATGTTCCCCCTTATACTAACAGTCCTTCATAGGGATTATAGTACTGACTACTATAATCCCTGTGAAGGGCTGTTAGTATAAGGGCTACCCTCCCGACCCTAACCGCGAACCCCTAGCCCGGTTTAGCCAACCTCTGAACCCTAAACTCGTGCTTAGGCAAACGATGTACATGCAAAGGAACCAAGTTCATGAAGGAATTTTGGGAAATCGCCAGGAACACCCGAACCATAGCATGACTTCATGCTGGGAATTGCCATCAGGGTGTTACTGCTGGATTCACCATTGCTGTTCATGCCTTGGGGTAGAGTGGAGGCACACCCCCCCCCCCCATTTTTCACTAACTTGTGGCGAAACGAAGCTTTAAGACAAAAATCTCCGTGCTAAACCCTGAACCCCAAACCCTTACATTTTCAGGTGCAGGGCTTCAGAACACTTTCCATAGCCACGCAAGGACTGCCACGACCTTCAAAATCGTACCCTAAACCCTAAACCCCAAAACCCGAAACGCTGGGAACCACGGTGGGCCCAGATTGTGGCGGTTAGGGCTTCGGGAACCCGAAGCCCCTACAAAGGCTTCCAAGCCTGACTCCACGCACTAAGAAGGGGAAGCCCTAAACCCTAAACCCTAAACCCTAAACCCTAAACCCTAAACCCTAAACCCTAAACCCTAAACCCTAAACCCTAAACCCTAAACCCTAAACCCTAAACCCTATTCAGAGTTCAGAGTTTCGCGTGCAGGGGTCTAGGGGGATTTTGAAGGCTTGGGCAAACTGAGCAATATAGAACAATACCACTTTGTGTGTGTGTATGCGCGTTTCCATCTTCCCTCAGAGTCCCGCAACCGCACCTGAATAACTGCCATATGACTAGTCAAAAGAAGGTCACGAATACACAACTTTGCCTCGGCAGTGCCCTAACACTAGGCCAGCCTTTGACCTAAGCCCCAAACCCAAAACCCCAAAACCCTGAACCCGGTAAACCCTAAACCCTAAACCCAAAACCCTAAACCCCAACCCTTAACCCGAGGCCCCAGGCTCTAGAACCAAGCCTTCGGAGAACTCTGCAGAGTCAGTGCCCTCTGGGTTTAGGGTTTAGGCTCCTGAGCCCTGTAAATCCCTGTGGAGTCCTGGTTTTCCTGTAGCCCAACACCCTAAATCCTACACACCCTAAACCCTAAGCCCGGAACCTCCCCCCGGCACAAACAATAAATACACATATAGAAAAATATGTATATGTATATGCATATGCATATGTACATGTATATGTATATGTAAATACACATACTCAAAAAAACATAGGCATCACCTATTCAATGAACATATTATCAGGAACCATAAACAAAAAGAACAGGCCTGCATGAGCCCCTGAAACTCTGAAGCCCCAAACCCTTGAAACCTCTAACCCCAAAACCCAAACCCCAAACACAACCAACCCCCCCGCCCCCCTGCCCCCCCTCTCCTCCCCACCCTCCTCCTCTCCTCCCAACCCCCTCTTCCCACTCACGAAACCCTAAGCCCTGAACCCTAAACCTAAACCGCAAACACCAAACCCCAAACCCCAAACCCTAAACCCTAAAACCCTAAACCCTAAACCCTCAACCCTAAACCCTCAACCCTAAACCCTAAACCCTAAACCCTCAACCCTCAACCCTCAACCCTAAACCCAACCAACCCCCCCCCCCCCCCCCCCCCCCCCCCCCGCAATCGCACAGGATTCGGGGGAACTGAGGAGCCCGCACTTCGCCGCGACGCGGCCTGAAACTCAGACTTTCTTGCTTCTAGCACAGGCCCGAAGCCCTAAGCCCTAAACCCTAAACCCTAAACCCTAAACCCTAAACCCTAAACCCTAAACCCTAAACCCTAAACCGAATCCTTAAACCCTAGACCCTAAACACGAAACACTAAACCCTGAACCCTAACTCTAAACCTTAGACCCTAAACCTTGAAGGCTTCAGAATCAAGGCGCTTCATACTAAGGGTGCTTCATGACGTTGTTCAAGGCATTTGCTGGTGGGTATCGTAGGGATAAACGGGGTGTCCGATCTTGACCATGGAAATAGGACTGAAGCCAAAACCGTAACCACCCGCAGACACCCCAAACCCTAAACCCTCTACCCTAATTAAGTCCAGCTTGCTGAGGCTTCTGACCCAGTCCGTTGTCTCTGCATCGGCAGCGGGTGCACAACCCTCTTAGCCCCAAAACGCCGCCCCACAGCTGCCCCAAAAGCGCCAAAAGCCCCCAAAGCGCCCAAAGCCCCTAAACCCCCAAAACCGTACAACCTTAAACCCAAAACCTAAAATCCTAACACCCTAAACCCTAAACCCTAAAACCCTAAAAACCTACAATCCTAAAACCCTAAAACCCAAAAACCCTAAAACCCAAAAAACCTAAAACCCTAGCGCCCTAAGCCGCGCCTTGATGTCCGCCGACTTGGTACCCAAACGGCTGGGCGGCGACGTGGAGCACATCGCTGGGTTTAGGGTTGAGGGTTGAGGGCTTCGGGTTTCGGGTTTTGTTTCTTTGTAGGAATAGTTTAAGGGCTTAGGGTTTCGGTGTTAGGGATTAGGGGCTTATGAGGGTATAGGTTTTCGGGTTTGAGGGCTTAGGGGTTTAGGTTTTAAGGTTATAGAAGGTGTAGGACCAACGCCTGGGTGTTGAGCCGGCGTCAGACTTTCGCCGCGGAGGAAGCGCTGAGGCCTAAACCCTGAACAGCCGCAAGCAAAACCCTGCACACACAATCCTAAGCCCCACGGGTTTAGGGTTTAGGGTTTAGGGTTTAGGGTTTAGGGTTAATTAGGGTTTAGGGTTTAGGGTTTCGGGTTTAGGGTTTGGGTTTAGGGTTTAGGGCCACGTACCCTCGACCTAGACCCTAAACCCTCAACTACCCTCGGACCCCGCCTAGGGGGCTCTTCGACTACCCTCGAACCCTAGGTGACTTGAGGTAGTATGCCAAACCCTAATTATTTTAAACCCTAAACCCTAAATCGGGTTCAGCCTTTCGGGGCTTAGTAGGGACGGCGCCTGGAATTTTTGGCTCGCAAAAAGGGCACCCTTATATATCCTTTATATACCCTATGCAACCCAAGGGCCCATAATTCAGAACCCTTTAAAGAAGGTAAGGGACCATCGGACCATATTCAGGGAGCGTGTAACACCCAAACTGAGGCGCAAAAATGGCTTGGGCTTCAGCGTAGTGGGATGTTCTCAGTACCCCTTTCTTCCCCCCCCCCCCTCCAAACAAGTGGTCACTTGTGGCTTCTTTCAGGGTCGTGTGGGCAATTCCGCAAATAAGGGGTGCCCCCCCAAGTTGCAAAATACCTCAAAACACTAAAACCCTCGCTGTCGGGGTCCCCAAAAAAGGTACCCAATTTTCCCTAAATCCCCTGCAGGGCTTCTCTTCTGCGCACTGGCTTGGCCCCTTAAAGCCTCTGAAGCACAATGTCAATCATGATCCTCTACCTAGTTGTCCGGTAACCTGGGGGAATTGAAGGTTAACCTTTGGGATTCTAAGGGGATTATACTACCCCAAAAAGGCTAAAGGTTACCTACTCTACTACGGTCTTACACCCAAGAAGTGAGAATACCTAGTATCCAACAAAGGGCCTAGCCAGGCAAGTCTGTCGGGTCCCTAACTCGAGGTGTCGCTTCCTGAGATTCAACGGCATCGGCTATGATGTGTGAGGTGAGTTGTTTAGGCGCTAGATCCTAGAAGCCCTAATCCCGAAAAAACTCTAAGCCCTATTGACCTGGAAGAGCAAAGGCATACTGAGGTTGGGCCTTCTTTTAGACTTTTAGGTTCTCCTCTTAGAAAGATAGGATGCTGACATACTGCATCTCTGAACCCCTAAACTGCAACCCTAAACCCTAAATCCTAACCCCCATACCCCGGCTCAAGGGCACTTAACTTCGGGTGTTAGGGATAGGATTAGGGGAGGGTTTCAGAAGGGATCCCTTTTAAAGGGTCAGCCTAATCCTACCCACAGGAGGTTACAGGTAGGGGTGCCGGCGGCTGCGAGACGCAAGCCGAGGACGTATATCTAGGGGTTGTATCTTGCACCCTTCGGGTTGTGCCCTTGCGGGTTTTGGGGAACCTGTTTGAAGATCCTTAAGGTAGTATACTGGCCATTTTGGGAGTCTACTAGCCCCAAGGGAATAGAAAGGGTGCCCCTTTTTTCGGTTTAGAGGGGACCCAAAACCTAAAAAAGGGGGGATAAGCTTGTTCACGCTGAGTCTTTAGGGGTACAACCTTGGGGGCTCGAGTCCGAGCTCTGACTTTGAGGCTCACAGCTCGGAGAGCCAGTTTCGGGTCAAACCCTTGAACCCTAAATCCTAAACCCTAAACCCTAAACCCTACATAAATCCTAAACCCTATAGACCCTAAACCGTAAACCCTAAACCCAGCCTGAGATTTGGCGTCGCAGGCAAGGTGGGCCAGCCCCTTGCTTTTCGCAAACCTTTCTGTTCGCTTGGGTTTGGGGGGTTAGGGTTGGGCTTTGGGGCTTTAGGGTTTCGGTTTTCAGGGTGTTAGGATGTATAGGGTTTCAGTGATCAGGGTTCAGGCGTCTGAGGCTTAGGGCCTAAGGTTTAAGGTTCCGGGTCTAAGGTTTCGAGTTTAGGGTCCTAAACCCTAAACCCTAAACCCTAAACCCTAAACCCTAAACCCTTAGGGTTTCGAGTTTAGGGTTTTTTTGGGCTTGGGGAGTTCTGGGCCCTTGGGCTTCTCAAGGGCTCCTCCTTAACCCTAAGCCTGAGCCCCTCAGTCCCAAAAACCTTAAGCCCTCAACCCTGAAACTGAACTCCCAGAGCCCCAAACCCCGAAGCCCTTGAGGGTTTAGGGTTTAGGGTTTAGGGTTTAGGGTTTAGGGTTTAGGGTTTAGGGTTTAGGCTTGCTGAACCCTAGCAAACTCCTGAATCCGCCTCGTTATAACCGTTAAGGACATTCCCACGTGTAGGCTCCAGGACCGAAGGGTTCGTGGAAGATTTCGAAACTAAACTTCCAGTTCCCAGTCGAGGCTTCGCTTGTAAAGAGTCTTCTCGGCCTTAAAGGCTTAGCTGCGCTATGCTTTCGCAAAGTCACTACCTACCCCCCCACCTCACTTCCAGTGCCAAGGAACTTTGTGCGATTTGCCCATACTTGCTGCTTCAGCTTCTCGACGACGTCCTCCTGCCCAGCCGCTACTTGGTCGTATTTAGTCGGGCACGCAAATACATTCATGCAAGTTCTTCTGGGCCTGGGGCCTATACTTGAAGTGCGGCACAAGAAGGCCCGTGGCTCAGTGTGAAAGGGCACCTTCGTACGATATCCTGTGCCCTCAGCCCTCAGGTCTTGCAGGACATGTGGGCTTTTCTGTGGCTGACAACTTTGGCGCCCTAAACCCTAACCCTAAAGAGCTAACCCAAATAATGGAAAGGACACAGTCTCCCGGCCCTGGGCTCAGGTTTTCGTAGGATTTCATATTAAGTTGTACATTAGCTTTACCCATTTTCTCAGAATTTAGTCCTGGATTTAATCATCTTGCTACTATTGTTTTCTAATCTTGTTGAACGAGCCAGACAAGAAAAAAACGGGGCGCGTATTCTGATCTTCCTAATAGCAAGATCTTCGCCATGAACTGCGCGGAAGGTTCCAGCCACAAAGGTCAACCCGAAACCCCGAAACCCAAACCCTCTAAACCCTAAACCCTAAACCCTAAACCCTGAACCCTAAACCCACTGTAGGGTGCGGAAACCCGATCGAGGCTCCCGGAGACCTTAGAGGTCCTGCAAAATCCGTGACAAAGCCCCCATTGAACACCACATCTTGGCATACAAAGGGGGGTTGGGAGGAGGGGGGGGGGGGTGCGGAGGGGGGTGGGGAGTGAGGGCGGGGGGGGTTTGAGCACTGGAGCCCCTAAAACACTTCCTTTGCAGGGAAGGCCCATCTACCGGGCACTTCTTCTTAAAAGAGAGTTTAGGGTTGAGGGAGTTTTGGTTGAGGGAGTTTAGGGTTTAGGTTTTTGGGAGTTTAGGGTTTAAGGGAATTTGGTACCTTATAACCCTGCCTTCTCAACCTCTAAAGGAACCATGCTATACACCGCAGTTGCCAAAGTCCCGACCAAGAACGGCCAAGCGACTAGGTGACCCACTGGCCATGATACTACAGACCCTAAACCCTAAACCCCAAACCTCAAACCCTTACGCTACAGTGTGGGCACCAAACCCCAGAACTGCTATCTGGCCTTTGTCATTCCCCTCATGTTCACGCCCAGCTGGTCCTCATGCAGGGTCTAGAGTTAAACAGGCCCTATACCCCCAGGAACCAAATAATTGAGCCCTTCAGGGTTCTAGGAACCTAACGATTCGGTCCCTGGAAGTTTAGGGAGTGACTGGTTTCCGAGTTGGGGTTCCAGGTTTGTGTTGGGTGAGGGGGAGGGGTGGGTAGGGCTCGGTGGGCTTGCAGCTTGGCAGTTTAAGGTTCAGGGGGCGGGGGCTGGTTTTGATGCGAAGCAGGTTGCGGGCTGCATAGGCATTCAGGGGCTCAGGGTTCATGTGGTATGTGGTTTAGGGTTTAGGGGTTTTGGGTTTAGGGTTTAGGATCGCTGCTTGGGAATTGGAGGCACTGCTGCTGCAGCAGATCCCGTAGCAAGTGTGGGAAGCATGCAGGGCGGAGGATTTAGGACGGCCTGTGTGGGTTTAGTCTTGGGGCAGTTTCGTGGTCCCTTAGTCTGGCCCGTAAAAAGGGACCCCTTATATGCCCCTTATATCCCCTGCCCATACATCCGAACCCTTGAAAGGAGGTAAGGGGCCATTTTAAGGGCCCATGAAACTACCCTTAGATTTAGGGTTGCGGTAGTCTCTGAGTGGCCACCAACGCCTAGGCCCAATGCTCGGATTCTCACCAACAACCTTCAAAGCATAAAGCCAGCAGCACAGCCCTCAACTCTAAATCACAGGCAGCTGGAACCACACTAAACAGTAATGTCTACACCCCAAACCATAAATCCTGAAAAACAACGGGCTACTTTGTCGGGCGTCAGCCAGCCGCTTGAACTCCTTTTGCGGGATGCACCTGAGCAATTCACAAAGAGCCCATCAATATCACTTAATCCAGGGATATTGTTTAACTTAAGAGGGATCCTTCATATGATTTAAGGATTATTCCTGGATTAAGGGATATTGGGCTCTTTGGGCATATATTGTTGATGCGCAGGTTTTTCGTGCCCAAAGACCATTTGTTCAGGGTGCGGGGCTTTTTTTGGGGTGAAAGGGCTTTACATGCGGACTGAGTTTAGACTTTCTAGGCTTAAGTAAGAGGCTATACTACTATTGCATTCAAGTTGTGTTTGGGCTTTTGGTTTAGGGTTTTGGGTCTTGGGTTACAGGGTCTCAACGCAAACATCAGAAGTAGAAGTAGGGAGAAGCTTGGCCTCTCCTGTATACTCTCTCTCTATATAGATAGATACATATCTATATATATATATATAGATATATATATATATATAGGTAGTTATTTATATTATATATATATATATAATGTATGTATAGTTTTGTGTGTTATTCACGTGTATTTCTATGCATTTGTATATTTATGCTTGTGCTTGCTTTCGTATATGGCATTTAAAGATATTCATGCGTACCCTAGACCCTAAACCCTAAACCCTAGACCCTAGACCCTGGACCCTGGACCCTGGACCCTGGACCCTGGACCCTAACCCTTAACCACATAGAGGCACTGAAAGGCACGCCGTGGCACAGCAGCGCATCCAAGTCCATCCGGGCACCCGCGAGTGCTTGCACCAGCCTCTCCCCCAACCGGTCTGGGGTTTAGGGTTTCGGGTTTCGGGTTTCGGGTTTAGGGTTTAGCGTTAGAAAGACTCTTTAAGGGGGTAAGGGCTATTCGGGCCCAGGGAGTCGGGGTGAGGGTGGACCGAAATTTTAGGGTATTTTGGGTTTAGGGCTTTTCGGGTTCCCAGCACCTTGGCTTACCCCTCGAAGGGAAGTTCTCCCCCATAAACGGGGCCAGGTACTCCAGTGGGAAATGCGCTGGTGGCTCCCACTTGCGCCTAAGAGTCAAGCATGTTCGTCTTTCCAGGCTCGCCACTCAGGCACAAAGGGATCTGCGCGCTTGTCATTCGACCCCAGGCTCGATAGCCATGAGTCTCAAAGCCCATCACTGTTTCCCAGCGCAGGTCAGGCGGCGGCCCTACCTGGGCTCCGCAGATGTGGGAGGGCCAGGAGGCCGCGCAGCCGGGAGACGCCCGTCCTCCTCCTGCAGGGCTGCGTGTTCGGACTCCGTCTGCGCCTGCGTGCGCAGCTCGCCCTGTGCCTGCAGCCTCCTGTAGAGATGGTGCTGCAAGGTTTAGTTGGGGGTGATGCTAAACCCGATCCCCTAAAAGTTCTCCACACCCTAAAGCCCAAAAACTCCCTACACTCTCAAGCCACAAATCTAAGTTTAGGGCCTGAGCCTTCTGTGGGGCTTCTTTTGCCTAGGGGATGGGCGGTGTGGGGGTAGTATTGCGTCACAACATTAAGAGTTTTTTAGCCAAAGTTCAGGCGATCTCGCAACCTTCAACCCCTGAATCTTGAAACCTACAACCCTGAACACTCTTATCCCCTCCCTCCCACCCCCTCTGTCCCTTCAAACCCCAAACCCAAAAACCCAAAACCCTACCCCTCTGCCTACCCCCGCTTCAAGCCTAGGCAAGTTCTTCGGATCGTCTTCCACCAGCTCTGCGCCCTGGGCCAAGACGCCTAGACCTAGACCTGCCCCAAACCGTGAAAGCCCTACAGAAACTGTAGCCCATGAGTGCCCCCACAATCCACTACAGCCCGTAAACCCAAAAACACTCAACCCTACAAATGCCATAATACCCTATGCTACAAACACTAGATGCGTGCGCAGTCACGCTGCCCCCCCCCCCCCCTCCGCCCGCAAGTATCCCCCCGCCCTCCCCCTCCGTGGTTCATGGTGGGTTTGAGAGTTTCCTCGCATCCCCCGCCTTTGGTTCATGGTGGGTCTAGGTTTGGGGTTTAGGCTTAGGCTGTACAGGGTGTGAGGCTTTCTGGCCACTCACTGTGTCTGCTTCATGGTGTCTTGAGGGTTTCGGGTTCAGGGTTTTGGGAGGTTTAGGGTTTGCCATCTCCCTCCTTGTTCGTGGTGGGTTTAAGCCTGAGGGTTCTGGGTTGAGGGTTAAGGTTTCGGGGTTCCCCTCTCCCCCCCGAAACACGTGCCTAACCTCCAAGAACTTGCGTCTCAGGGCTTTAGGGGTTTCAGGGTCTAGGGTCTGGGGGTTTCGAGGCAGCAGAGCCCTGACTCAGCCAACTGTCAGAGTCAGCCTTCATGCTGACTGTTCACCCTATAACCCTAAACCTTAAACCCCAAACACCTAGACCCTGAATCCCAAAACCCCCAAAACCCCACAAAACTCCAAGATTCGGGAACCCAAGCCCTGAAGCCTAATCCCTGAAACCCTACAGAACTCGAGGGCACCCAAACCCTAAACCCCACACCCCAAACCCCAACCCGACACCCCAAACCCGACACCCGAAACCCGACACCCGAAACCCGAAACCCGAAGCCCGAAGCCCGAAACCCGAAAGCCTAAAGCCCAAACCCCAAACCCCAAACCCTAAACCCTAACCCGAAACCCTAAACCGTAAACCCTAACCACCCCCCCCCTAAACCCTAACCCCCCCCCCCCCCCCCAAGCCCAAAACCCAACTGCACCCCGGCCTCGATAGAGCCGCGAACCGCGTCGAGGAAGGAAACCTCGAGGTTCCTTGGCAGAACTGCGCAGTTTTGGGTTTAGGGTTTCGGGTTTAGGGTTTGGGGTTTGGGGTTCAGGTTTCAGGGTTTAGGGTTGGCTTAGGGCCCTAGCCTGAAAGGGGGTTCCCATTGCATGACTATATAGGTACATGGACCTTTACTCCCTAGCCCTACACCACAAAGCCGAAATCATCTAGAAACCCCTTCAGCCCTCATAGAATCCCATGTAACACCTCCTGAAATGGAACTCGCCCCAAAACCTGTGGTCGTAAATAACTTACATGCAGAGCTGAATGTAGATGGGTTTAGGGTTTAGGCTTGAGGCTGAGGGGCTGTATTAGGGTTTAGAGTATATAGGGTTCTCCAGAATTTACAGGGTTACGTAGCTTCAGAGTGTAGAATTCAGGGTTTGACGTTTCGCTAAATTCTTCCTGGCGCACGAAGGTTCCCTGTAGAGTTGTTTTTCAATTGCTCTTTGTTATCCTGAAATTTCTCTAACTGCTATTTATTTACTTAAGAACCCCTCAAAAAACTAATACTCCCTGTGGTGCCCATATCAGGAAGAATGTGTTTTCATTTCGGGGGCTTGTTAAGCAGCCAGCAGTAGCTAATTAAGAGGTCTTGGGCTCTTCAGGACAGCGCCTTCCTAGGTGGGCTAGGTTTGCATATAGGACCACCCAAGGACAAACAGGATAAAAGTTAAAAGCTCCATCTGCATCAGCGCAAACGACTTTTCGCCAACCAGCCGCCGGGACATTCAAGTGGGCCATGGGCCGCACACACTCGTGTGAATTCACGCGTGCGCCTTTCTTCGGGCTTTTAGGGATGATATAGGGTGTTTGGCAGCACGAGACCGAGTCCCAAGCACCCTAAAGTATCAACCAGCTGTTGGCATGGACTCCACGCTTCTTTACTAAGAGCCGAAACCCCATACTAAAAAGAGGCGAAACCCTGCACACAAACACAACAACCTCTGACTGCGTGGCGCACACGGAAGTTTGGTGCATGAAGTGTCTGAGGCCGAAGGCCCCAAGCACCTCAATTCTGTGTCTTTCTGCCCTCTCCTAGACACGCGCAACAGGTCGAAGTGAAGCAGTACCCTAACCCTTATGACTTATAACCATAACCTTAAAAATCCTAAACCCTAAATCCTAAATCCTAAACCCTAAACCCTGAACGCTAACCCTAGACCCTTTAAGGCGGCAGCCCTAGACCCGAAGGCGTTGCCCAAGAGCGCCGGGCGCTCCCATGCGCTCCGCGGCGGCGGTGGCGGCGCTGGTGGCGAAGCGTCCCGGCACCAGGAGACGCCGGGGAAAGCCTTTTGGGCTTATGGGGGCGTTAGGGTTTAGGGTTTAGGGTCTAGGGTTTAGGGTTTAGGGTTTAGGGTTTAGGGTTTAGGTTCAGGGGTGTAGGGCTGAAGGTTTGGGGTTTAGGGTTGATGGGGTTTGAGTTTTTACAGGTTTAGGATTTAGGGCAAGTACCCATCTGGTTCGTATGATCACCCAAACTTGTTCGATCCGTGAACCCCTGAACCCTAAACCCTAGTGCCGTGAAACCCGAAAACATCTGAAGAGTTTAGGAATTCGTGTGATTTGGGGGGCGTACGGTAGATACTCTAGACCCCGACAGAAGCGTGTAGCAGAACCGTGTAGAAGCCACCAGCGCGCCTAATGTTTCTAGACCCCTGCGGACCCTAAAACAAGAACACTCAACCCTAAAACCTCTACCCTAAACCTTAAACCTTACACCCTTACCCCTTGTCAACCGTAAACCCTAAACCCTGAACCCTAAACCCTAAACCCTAAACTCTAAACCCTAAACCCTAAACCCTAAACCCCAAACCGAAGCCCCCAGAAGCGCCTGCCAGCAGCCGAAGCGCCGCTTGCCACCGGCAGCCCACGTCGCACGCCGCGATGGCGGCGTGGAGCGTCAGCTCGTTGGGCTGGGCCGCGACGCGCCTCAAACAAGGGTTTAGGGTTTAGGGTTTAGGGTTTAGGGTTTAGGGTTTAGGGTTTAGGGTTTAGGTCAAAAACATCTCTCCTTCTCTTTGTATGTCTATGTATTCCAGCATTTCCTTCCTTCTTGGTATATACATATATATATATATATATGCGTAAATCAAGAACTTTACGTACGTGCATATGTACATAAGCATCTGCTTACAAGATATGTGTGTATGTATATATGTATATGTATGTATGTACGTATGTATGTATGTATGTATGTATGTATGTATGTATGTATGTATGTATGTATGTATATATGTTGTATACGTATATATATACACACACACATATATATATATATATATATATTGCCGTCTAGGTATGTGTAAAGCCCTGAGCCCCTGCATTCTGCACGATCCCGAGCCCCCTAGACCCTACATCCAAGAAACCACATCGTCGACAGCGTCTGCGCCGCCACCTCCCAGCAACCGGCCACCTGACCTAGGTCGGAGTTCAGGGTTTAGGGTTTCGGGCTTAGGGTTTTATAGGGTTTAGGACAATGGTTTGGGTAATTGGGCGGGTGGGTGGGTGTGGGGGTGGGTGCGGGGGTCGAGTGGAGATCTCAAGCTGTAAGCTTGCAATCCTGACCCCCCTACACCCTGAAGCCTCTATAACCCCTAAGCTCCAAACCAACCTAAGCCTAGCTACAGCTGCTCCTGGAAGTTGCGGTTTAGGGTTTAGGGTTGAGGGTTGGGGTCGCTGGTTGAAGGTTTAGGGTTTAGGGTTTGGGGTTTCGGGTTTAGGGTTTGGGGTTTGGGGTTTAGGGTTTAGGGACTCCGGTTTAGGGTGCCAACAACATCCGGTGACAGGAGCCGAGGGCGGCAGTGAAGCTGATGACGTTTGATCTCACCTTCAAGCTCCGAGCCAGTGTTAGGGTTTAGGGTTTAGGGTTTAGAGTTTAGGGTTTAGGGTTTAGGGTTTAGGGTTTAGGGTACATAGGGTTTAGGGTGTGTAGGCATTCAAACATTCAGGCGTTGAGGTGTTTAGGGTCTAGGGTTCAGGTGCTTCTGAACCCTACTGACATCTGAACCTTACACTCTGCGCCCCATAAACCCTAACCCAGAGCCATTCGATCTACAGGGTGTTGAGGCGTTGGGCTTTAGGAGTTCCATCAGGATGTGGGCTTCAGGGCCCGATTTAAGCTTCAATCGGATGGGGCGGTGAGGTCGGCGTCTGTACCAGAGAGTTTTGCTCCCAGGGCTGAGCTTACCGTTTAGGGTCTAGGCTTTGTAGAGGGGAGTTTTGGGAGAAAGCTCCCTAAACCCTAAACTCGAATATTTAAAAAAACCTAAACCCTAAACCCGAAACCCTAGAAACCCTAGAAACCCTAGAAACCCTAGAAACCCTAGAAACCCTAGAAACCCTAGAAACCCTAGAAACCCAAAAAACCCTGAAGCCTCTGGCCTCGGCTCCAGGCAGGGCACGAAGGAGTCGGTGGGCCACTTGCCAGTGCAGGGTCTTGTCCTTGGCTTTCTTTCTAAGAGCTGCAGCTTAGGGTTTAGGGTTTGGGGTTTGGGGTTTGGGGTTTAGGGTTTAGGGTTTAGGGTTTAGGGTTTAGGGTTTAGGGTTTAGGGTTACCATACCCCGTAGTTTCTTTCAAGGGTATGCCCAAGGGGTATGTTGAATATCTTTTAGATTATTGAAGGTGTTCATGGGTAGTTTCATGGTTTAGGGCCCAGAACTCTAAATTCCCTACTTCTAACCATACTTATAAGTACCCATGAGCCTCCAAGTTTGGGAGGTGCCAGCAAGGTTTGAACAGCCTGAACCCTAAACCCTAAACCCTAAACCGCTGGCGCCCCCATGTCTGGGAAATGCACATCCCAAGTACAAAGAGGGCTTCAAGGGCTCATGCTACAGCCCTCTGCGCCTAGAAGCCATGAAGCATCCCACCCGATTGCACCTTTGTAAACACAACAACCTTCGGGTTTAGGGTTTGGGGTTGAGGGTTTAAACCCCAACCTGGAAGTCTGATTTTCTGTCCCGGGTCGGCAAGGTAGATATGAACGAACATCAGACCACGCCCAAGAATCCTCCAGAAAATAGGGTTTAGGGTTTAGCTCACTTCTCCGAAGTTGCAAGCTCCTGTCCCAATGCCGCACCTGAAACATAGTCGGGCCCCTTATGCCCGAGACCCGAACCCAAGAGTTGGAGAACCCAGAGCCGACATCGGCCCCCATCGTACGCCGAAGATTCCACAGCACTGATGGCGGCATTGAAGCTGATGTTGTTGGGTCCTCGGCTTCCCTCTGGAAGACGAAACCCTATATAAGCTCGAGACCCTAAGCCCCAAATCCGAAACCCTAAACCGCACCCTCAGCCCCAAGACAAACAGAACATGGCTACCACTGGCGAATATAAGGCCCTGACTAATTAGACCAGGGTTTTGAGGGATTTTGTAGCATAATTACAAAGGGACCATAAGGGAATACCAGAAGTAGCTACCCTAAACCCAATAAACCCTAAACCCTTGTCAACCCTAAACCCTTGTCAACCCTAAACCCTAAACCCCTAAACCCCTAAACCCTAACCCTAAACCTCAAACCCCAAATTCCAAACCCTAAACCCTAAACCCCACATTATGCCAGGCTCGTGCTGCTTCTTGGTCCATTGCGGAGAGGATTGCCAAAGCAAACCTCCACTGTCTGCCTGGCTTAGAGGATCGTGGGTTTAGGGTTTAGGGTTTAGGGTTTGGGGTTTAGGGTTTAGGGTTTAGGGTTTAAGGACCTACAGCTGGGCTCTTTTTGATTGCTGCTCGAGTCCGAGGCTTGAGGACTTGTGGTTTAGTGCAACCCCTAAGACCCTCAACTCGATGAGGGCTTAGGGGTTTAGGGGGATGCAGGATGGCCCTCAGGACTTTTGAAAAACCACTTCACCAAAAGAGCCTATCTGCAACACACATATATATATATATGTATAGAAATACATTATTTATTTATTCATTCATTTATTTATGTTTTTTGTTTAGGTGTGTGTGCGCAGTATATTTAGTTCTTGGCTAAGTTGTTTTACATGGGGATGTTGGATGTTTGCGAATTCAGATGCAGGGCGAGGGAATTATAGAAGCCCAAGGCAGATAGTACAGCAGTAGTTATCTAGAGTTTAAGGCGCCTAGGTGGTTCCAGCAACCAGTGGATGGGAACAGCTACACTTTTCCTCTGCCGTCAAATTCAGCCCGAAATCCTAAAAACAAAACCCTCAACCCTCAACCCTAAACCCGAAACCCTAAACCCTAAACCCTTGGCGAAGCAATCATGCACCAAATATAGATTACAGTTGAAGCCTCGCGCGCTGGCGCTGATGGCCGCACTGAAGCTGACCCTTGGCCGCGCCCTAAACCCCAAACCCCAAAGCCTAAACCCTAAAGCCTAAACCCTAAACCCTAAGACCCTAAGACCCTAAACCCTGGACCCCAAACCTGTTTACGAGCCAGTCAACCAGAAGCGGTGGATTTTGTGTGTGTGTGTGTGTGTTTGTTTTTTTTTTGGGGGGGGGCCTATCAATACCAAATTTTCTATAGGTTGCATTGTATGGATGCAGGACGACAGAGGAAGAAATAGAGAACAGGGTCCATATAGCTGTTGTGTAAAACCTTGTGAACCAACAACGTTGCAAAAGCACATACTCCAACACAGGTGCTGCTGTGTAAAACAGACACCTACTGAACTACCAGGAAATTCCCCTGCAAGGTATACGCATGTATCGCAATCCACACAAACCACCGTAGACAACCAATTGGCCCACAGCAAAGGCCCAAACCGACACTCAATCCCGAGACTGACAAGCGCATGAGCCCGGCAATCCCCACAGCCTGCAAACCCAACCTTCGGGTTTGGGGTTTAGGGTTTAGGCTTTAGGGTTTAGGTTACATCCCAAACGCCTGCCCACCAATAGCTCGATTTTTCCAAGGGGTTCAATTTTTTGGTTTTTTGTGAGCATCCTGGGGCGAGCGAGGGGCACGTTGGGCTTTGGACTGAGCGCCGGCATGTGCGCGAGCAGATGGATAGCCTGGGACTTTAATTCAAACCCTAAACCCTAAACCCTGAACCCCCCACCTCCCCCAAGTTCCCGCAACCCCCAAGTGTGTAAACCCACAAGCCGGATCCTGTCACGGAAATCTATACCCGAAACCCCTTGAAAACCCTAAGACCCTAAAATATGCCAAGCAGTATAACATGGAAGTTTTGATGATTATGCCATATTTATTTACCCTAAACCACCTAAGGCCCTGAAATATGCCAAGGGCCTACCTACCCAGACCCCTGTGAGGATGTAAAAAGCCCAGAAATCGTACCCTTAAGCGGATCTGGGTATACCCTAACCAAACCTTGAAAACCTGAAGACCCTGAGCCCTGCAAAGGAAATCCAGGGCAAAGGGTTTAGGGTTTGGGGTTTCGGGTAGGAATTTGGCGGGAGAGCCTAAACCCTAGGGCCCGAGAGCTTCAAGACTCAATCGCCATTTACAGCCCCCGACCCACACCCCACACCCCACACCCCAAACCCCAAACCCCAAACCCCAAGCCCTAAGCCCTAAGCCCCAAACCCCAAACCCCAAACCCCAAACCCTAAACCCTACACCCCAAACCCTACACCCCAAACCCTAACTCCTGAACCTTCCCTTCGCCAAGTCGCTGCCTCCCAGTGGCCGGAAGCCTCGCAAGCGCTGATCACGGCGCTGCAGGTGACGGTGTCGGGCAGGAGGTCTCCTAAATTAACATTAGGAGGGGACAGGGTTTAGGGTTTAGGGTTTAAGGGTTAGGGTTAAGGGTTTAGTGTTTAGGTAACCCAATTGTCAGTTATAACACGCTTCTAAGCCCCTTTAGGGTACTGGGTTATCATTGGGTTAAAAGTACAGATATAATTGGGTTACTAAGTACCATGAACATGCAAGTAGGGCACCTGGGCCCCCCAACCCCCCCCCCCTAATTTTGGGGTCGGAATAAAAGACTATGCTCTTATGGTCCTTGTTGTAATATGTCGATAGTAATCCCCAAAACCCTATTCTAATTCTTCATCACTAATTCTTAGTCTTCCCTTATGGCCCTTGCATAAATATACGAATTGAGCCCCCAAACCCCATTCTAAGTATGAACATCCGGAAACAAGGAGCCCTCGAGGCCCTGCAACTGTGCCAACCACTGGCTTGGCCCCTTCAACCCCGCTGAAAGATGTTCCTAAAAGTTGTCCTCCTAGCCCTAAACCCAAAACCCTAAACCCTAAGCCCTAAACCCTAAACCCTAAACTCTAGATCCCCAAAGCCCAAAACCCCTAGTGAGGAAGAAACAAGCGCAACTCCCCAGAGGGCCACTCAGACAAGCTGCGCTCCCTCATGTCCGCAAGGAGGTGCAGGGCCAAGTCCCACATCGCCCCAAGCCCACATGATGAGATGGCCGTGGTGTAGGCCAGCGCCTGGGGAATCGGGTATCGGGTTTAGGGTTTGCATGGGGGCTTCGTTGCTAACCCAGAGGGTCCAGATACCCTCTATTTATGGTTTGGGCCCAAAAAAAACCTTGAGATTGTGGTTTGTTGGGACCTAAAACCATAAATACGGGGTCCTTGGACCCTCTGGGTACGCTTACACCCTTTAGGACCCCTGTGAGCGCAGCAAAACCCTAAACCCTAAACCCTAAACCCGAAACTAACCCTAAACCTAAACCCTAAACCCTCGAAGAGTGAAATAGGCACAAGCCGCATGCCATTCAATGCCTTGGGACATCCGCACTTGCTCCGAAGGATTGCATGGCTGAGAAGAGCTGTAAGGCCATGCCTTGGTAGCACAGGAAAGGGGTTTAGGGTTTAGGGTTTAGGGCTAGGGTTTAGGGTTTAGGGTTTAGGGTTTAGGGTTTAGGGTTTAGGGTTTAGGGTTTAGGGTTTAGGGTTTAGGGTTTAGGGTTTAGGGTCTACCAAGATGCTCCAGCATCCGTCTTCTACGCATGCGAGCATGGCGGCACTGATGGTGATGGTGTCAGGCAGGAGTGACTGGGCAGGCATTCCTTAGTGCGATTGCCAAGTACACCACGAAACTACCTCTTGAAACCCCTGAACCCGGAACCCGAAACCCCTAGCGCTATAAACCCTTAGGGTTTAGGATTTGGGGTTTAGGGTTTTAGGGTTTAGCGTTTAGCGTTTAAAGTTTAAAGTTTAGGGTTTAGGAAAGCCCAAAGCCCTAAACCCAACAAGCCTCAACGAGCCAGATGCGCTACCCAAGAAGAGACAAGGTTCCTGCAAGAAGGTGAAGCGCCAACTGCCACTGCCTGCTCTTCTCGGAACCCTGGAATAAACACTCTTTCAGTTTTGTGGCTCCTCCTGATCCTACTTCGTACAGAACTTCATAAGGCATCAGGATGTAGAACCAGAATGAAGCCCTCAGCCCCTACTTGGCAGAAAGAAACAGCGTTTCAGGGTTTAGGGCGTGTGTGAAGTTCGACTGTCGGATGAGGCAGGGCGCGCAGAGGTGGCGCAAGCACTGATCACCGCGTTCAGGCTTACCCTGTCTGGCACCAGGCTCCTTCGGGGGGGGGGGGGTGCAGGAGGAGGAGGAGGAGGAGGCTGAGGATTGGGCTGCAGTACGTCCTAGACTCCGCAAGGTCCGAGCGACCGCAACTTTGCACGCCCCTTTTTCGGTCCCGGAGGTTGCTGACAACAGCTCCAGGGCGATCGGCCACTGCCCAGCCCGGTGGCAACCAGTCAATGCAGAGTTCCTAAGTACTGAACTTGGAAGAACCCTAGCAACAAACCTAGAATTTTAGCTGCTTCTTGGGAAAAATAGTACGCAAAAATTGAAAATTATTCCCAGTATCCCAAGGTTCAAGGTGACGACAGTTGGAGTGACCCGGTGGTGGGCCATGAGAGACACCTCGCTGAGGGACTTCGGGGGCTCAGGATGGGGGGCTTAGGGTTTAGGGCGTAGGGCTTAGGGCTCAGGGTTTAGGGTTAGGGTTTAGGGTTTAGGGTTTAGGGTTTAGGGTTTAGGGTTTAGGGTTTAGGGCTTATAGGGCTTAGGGTTGCAGTACAGGCTTTTGAGTTGGGCCTCCGTGAAAAAAAGTCACCAAGCTCTCCCCCTTAAGTGATGTGAAGAAAGTGTGCGCACCGGAACTAGGCTGCCCAGTAACCTAGGCTTAAAAAGGGTGCCCTTTTTTGCTTAAAGGGGTTTATAAGGGAACCTAAACCCCCAAAAAGGGAATAAGGGTACTGCTGGGCATCCTAGGGAAAGGTTGTGTGGTAGTGGACTTGGCAGGGTGGGCAGCTGATGGAACTTGACCTGACCCGCCCATCCCCCGCCTAAACCCTGAACCCTCAACCCTAAACCCTGAACCCTGAACCCCAAAGGCCCAAACCCGAAAGGCCCAACCCTAAACCCTAAATCCGCGGCCCAGGGACGGTCTCAAGCGCGCCCTGCCACAACCCGGCCTTCTCAGCTGCAGCCAGCGTGGCGTTGAAGCTGATCGAGTCGGCGTCGGTTTTTGAGGCAAAGAGATCCTAAGGTTTAGGGTTTAGGGTTTAGGGTTTAGGGTTTAGGGTTTAGGGTTTAGGGTTTAGGGTTTAGGGTTTAGGGTTTAGGGTTTGGGGCTTAGGGTTTAGGTTTTAGGGTTTAGAGTCAGGGAAAACAGTACATACCTTTAAGGGATACATACCTAATAGAGGAAACCCAGAACCCAAAAAAGTAAAACAACGTATATTCCTGAACAGACTAGGATCCGATTGAAGTTGGAAGGACCTCTTCCATTGCCCACCCTTCTCGCAGGCTGTGGTGGTTGCCTTATAGGGGAAACCGGCATGGGATTCCTATAATCCCCCCCACCCGGAGTACCTACTTGGAGGTTCAGGGTACTTATAACCCAACTAGAAGTGTAGCTACAACACACTTATAAGCCCTTTAAGTACCCTACCGGGTTTTCTGGGGGTAAGAAGTGCAGAAAGAATTGGGCTACTAAGTACCATGAACCTGGAGGTATCTCCACTCCGCCCCAGAAGCTGCATCTTGCAGCAAGCTGCGTTGAAGGAGACAGTGTCAGCTTCAAGCCGGACTGAAGCGAAAGAAGCCAGAAGACGCAATGCCTTTCGCCACAGCACGCAACTGCCGAAGGCGCTGATGCCTGCAGATGAAGGACACCCCCAACCTCTAGCTAACTGCAGCTGTTTTGCATGGTACCCAGTTTCATGCTCCCGATAAAAAAGCACCAAGCAAGGCCCAACAACCCAAAACACAAAGGAACGACAATTCGGGAGCTACTGAGGGGTGCAATACACCTGCGAAAAGCAGTCAACCCCCCAAACCCTCTAGCATATGGAAATGTTCTCACATGTATGCGTGCGCGAAGTTAGCACGTGCCTGAAGCGTTCACACGCTCACACTCAAACACGTAAGCCACGCCTCAACCTCGAAACCGGGCACCGAGAAAAAGCCATCAAATCTTTAACACCCAAACCCCGAAAGCCTAAACTTGCACAGCCTGTCATGTTTTCTACAGCATCATGCAGCTGAAGCCCTGAACCTTACACCCTAATCCCTAAACTTGCACTCAACCCTAACCCCTATAAACCCTATAAACCCTATAAACCCTATAAACCCTATAAACCCTATAAACCCTATAAACCCTATAAACCCTATAAACCCTGTAAACCCTATAAACCCTATAAACCCTATAAACCCTATAGACCCTATAAACCCTATAAACCCTATAAACCCTATAAACCCTATAAACCCTAAACCCTAAACCCGGCTGCCTCGCCTGTGTTCATCGTCAGCTCGTTCGCCAGAACTCTGGCGCCTGGCATCCTCGGAACATTTTGCTGAACTCGGGCCTTGTGGGGTCTAATTACCCTAAGCGTCCATGTACCCATATAGTAGGTACTTGGGCCCTAAAGCTACGAAATGGGAACCCCGTTTGAGGCCAAGTAGGTACTATATGGGCACATGGACCCTCAGGGTTATAGAAGGAAAATTTAAGGTCTTAGGGGTTTATAGGGTTGGTAAGGGGGGGGGGGGTTAGGGTGTATAGGGTGTTAAGGTTTCAGGTTTTTCGATTTGTTTAAGGCTTTTAGGGCTGGCGTTTTAAGACTTTGTGTTGTTGGCTTTTTTTGTTTAAGGTTCATTTGGGGCTTTGGCGCTTCTTGCGTTCGCTTTTGTAGGGTCTGTGGGGATCAGGGTTTGAGGTTTAAGGGTTTTTTGGTGTAGGGCTTTTGGGGTTTGCGGTGTTTGGGGTGGTTCGGGTTTGCCATGCACATGATGGGTTGATGAGAGCTCATCTTGTGCGGGTCCTTTCCGCTCTTCGGCAGTGCACACTTCTTGATGGGGCACCTAAACCCTAAACCCTAAACCCTAAACCCTAAACCCTAAACCCTAAACCCTAAACCCTAAACCCTAAACCCTACCAAACCCCAAACCACTACTACTCCCCGGGCGCTTCACCATCGAGGATTTCACCACTTCCAACTTGTCTTACGCATCCTCAGAAAGCGCGGCCCCCGCCCCCTCACTGGACTCCTAAGACGCATCTGTCCAGGCGTTTGCAAAAAGGTACGCAGTAGGTGGATCCTGTAGTCCTAGTTTAGGGTTTAGGACTATCTGTTGGAAACCGGGTCATGGCCGAACTCACTGCCGACTCCATGTTTTGGAACCACTCTTCCTGGTGTTGCAAAAACAGCGTTGCTCTTTGAAAACATCCTTCCACAGGAAAGTTACCGCGGGGCGGAGCAGCAGAATAAAACAACTCACTGGAACTCTAGCCCTGCTAGGAGAAGCTCAAACTCAACGGGCATACTCTCACTTGCAGTCTCCTGGTCTGGCAAGAAACCCTAAACCCTAAACCCAGCTAAACCCAGCTAAACCCTAAACCCTAAACCCTAAACCCTCAAAGAAGCTTCGCATGACTTTCGTTGGTCAAGACGCTGATGCGTGTTGCCGCTGTTTGTTGTTGTGTGCTCATCTCTTCCGTCTGTGCGTTGAATGGCTCTACTTCCCAAGCAAACTCCCACTGGCTTGTCTCCGATTCTATCACACCCGAGTTTTTGGCCTCAACACTAGGCTCGTGAAGCTTGGAACACTCTGAAGTTGAGACCTTAGTTGCTGAGTTCATAAGCCCCCAACAGTGTGCACTTTCAGTTCTGTAGGGGTTCTAGTATCTCAAAAGCATACAGTGTTCTCATTCAGCTACTAAGGGACATTCCAACTTTCTAGTGTGTGTGTGTGTGTGAATACACACATACAGTGTTCTCATTCAGCTACTAAGGGACATTCCAACTTTCTAGTGTGTGTGTGAATACACAAGGATTAAACCCTAAACCCTAAACCCTGAACCCTGAACCCTACACCCTAAACCCTAAACCCATCATGCTCCAAGTTGTGGAGGCGTTCACTGTAACTCTAAACTCTGATCAAGGATCGTCGAGGCAAGCTCGCAAGCCTTTTGCCAGAGGCCCACCTTCTGGCAAAGACCCATCCTCGGCTAAGGGAAGGCTTATTTATAGGGTTGAGGGGTTTAGGGGTTAGGGGTTTAGGGGCTTAGGGGTTTAGGGGTTTAGGTTTAGGGTTTAGGGTTTAGGGTTCAGGGGTTAAGAGAATGCAGGGACCGGGGGGGGGGGGGGGGGAGGGGGAGGGCAGGGGGGGTTGCTGCAGGCCCGCAACGACATGGGTTCAATGCTTCTGTTTAGGGCCTACTTGGCTTCTAGGCCCGGAGTCCATTTGGCGGGTCATAGCAGAGGTTTGTTCAAGAACTCCTATCGACAAAGATCAGCAGCTTGGCACGGTGCCTTGATACCTGGTTGCACTTGATTCGTACGCTATGGACAAGCTGTCGTGCTGTCTCTCTCTCTCTCTCCCCCCTAGCTGGCTTCAGGGTTTCTGGGTTTAGGGTTTAGGGTTTATAGGGTTTAGGGTCCCGACTACATGTACTCACATCAGTGTTCACAGTTTCGCGGTGTGAGCTCCCAGCATAGGATCAGCTCTAACCCGAAAACCCCCAAGCCTAACCTTAAGACCCGAAAGCCCTAAAGCCTAGAACCCTAAAGCCCTCAAACCCGAAATCCTAAAATCCTGAAAGGCCTGAATCCAGTCATGGCTCACTGCTGTGTACATGAAGACGCTCGGGCCGTCATCCATGACCTGATCTTGTGTCGTCTAGGCTTTAGGGTCTAGGGTCTAGGGTCTAGGGTCTAGGGTCTAGGGTCTAGGGTTTAGGGTTTAGGGTTAAGGGTTTAGGGTTTAGGGTTTAGGGTTTAGGGTTTAGGGTTTAGGGTTGTACTGCATAGCTCGCTATCGAACCGTAAACCCTCAACGTTAAAACAGGCATAGGGAGGCTTCCGAAAGTGGGAGGTCCCTTCCTGATTCCTGTTCAGGGAACTACTATATTCCGGGGTATTAAGGGGCAACCCCGTTTCTCTGTAACCCTAAACCCTAAACCCTAAGCCCTAAACCCTAAACCCTAAACCCTAAACCCTGAACCCTGAACCCTGGACCCTGAACCCTAAGCCTTCAGCATCCTACCGAGGAGCATCTCTGTCCGCGGACCACGCGGCAAGCGAGGCAAGTGCAAGGTCCCATTGGCCGGGCGAGACGCGACCTCTGGCATGGCTTAGCATAGCCCCACGCCTCTAAGGGGTTTAGGGTCTAGGGGTCTAGGGGTCTAGGGGTTTAGGGGTTAGTCTCGGTGTTTAGAGGTTTAGGGGTTTTAGAACAAGTAGCCAAGTAACCATGGGGGTACCCTTGTTTTCATTGCTTCTAGCGAGTGTCAAGTAGAAGCAGCCCAAGTAGACCCCTGACCTTGCTAGCCAACAACCCTGAACTCAACACCCGAACCCTAAACCCTAAACCCTAAACCCTAAACCCTAAACCCTAAACCCTAAACCCTAAACCCTAAACCCTATAAATTGCAGGATTGGCAGCTTATGGCCGAACAAAGTCGGCGCTCATCGAAGGGGGCAGTCGGCTGAGGCTCTTCTGCCAGCAGCTGCTGTGCCCTTTGCCACTTTGCGGCCATTGCTTGGGGTGCAGGATGTAGGGGGTGTAGCCTGATATATACATTGACTCCTAAAGCATAAGGTGGGAATACAACATACGCTTAATATGCAAGTACATATAACGATATGTACATAAAACGACAAGTACTGGCTTTAGATGTCCAGGCAGTTTCAGCGGTTCAAGGTTTAGGGGTTGAGGGTTTTTAACGGTTTAGGGGTTGAGGTCTCGAATTTCGGTTGGCTGCGGCAGCCAATTCTTGAGCAGCAGGCTGCAGCAAGACTCATATTGAGCTTCCCAAAAAAAGGTTACCCAAAATCTCGGAAAAAATACTATAGACCTTACCGTTGGACTCCCACAAAGGGCAGCCCTACTTTCGAACAAACATCTCTAAAGCCTCACAATACCCAATCGAAACAAACAAGGGGCAATGTTAACCCTCAACCCTATTCGGAAGCAAACAACCTGTAGAATCCTTTAAAGGGTATATGTAGGGCCCCACCACAGTGATTCCTTTTAGGGTTCTAGACCCAAGAAAAGCCGGGCCCTTTCTTGTTAAACGGAAAAGGGGCTGATAGGGGAACCTGAACCCTAAAAAGGGGAATAAGGGCCTACTTCTGGGTCCTAAGGTTGAGGGTTGAAGGGGCTAAAGTTTACCCGACTACGAGCCCCCCCCAAACCCAAAAGTAGGAGCCCGTTGAGCTTTGCTAGGAGACCCTGCACCCAAACCCTACGGACCCATGGACCTATATAGTATGTACTTGGGCCTTTTCGGGGTTCCTATATGGCAGCTTTAGGGCCCAAGTATACGTCACATAGATACATGGATCCTTAGGGAAAGCACAGACATGTTCTACTTGACTTAAAAACGCCGAAACCAAACCCCTAGTTGAATCATAGCGATAGCACCCCGGACCATGCCCCCTCGGCCCTAAATCCTAAACCCCCCGCCTCTAACCCCTGACCCCAGTTAGAACCTTATAGGCCTTTCGCCCATGGCTGCGGCCAAGTGACTTGGCATCTTTCAGCCTTCCCCCCAAAAGGGTTTAGGGTTTAGGGTTTAGGGTTTGGGGTTTGGGGTTTAGGGTTTAGGGTTTAGTAGATGAAAGAGTGATTGTTTTTATGTGTGTGTGGGTGGGGGGGGGTGGGTACTTGCCGGGTGCAGGTAGGGTTTAGGGCTTCGGGTCTAGGATTAGGCCTGTAGAGACCAGGCTGTACGGCTTACGATATAAGAGTCAAGGGCTGAACTGGCATCGAGTTGGTGGAAAGCAGAGGGATTTCGTGGGGGCTTCTCCCCCAAAGATGGCCTGGAGATTCTAGAAAAACTCTTACCAAATCTCCAGTCTCGCACCTCAATGATGTACGCCTAAGCCCCAAGGCCCAAGAAGAAGACTTCTCAGGCTCCGTGGTTGTGGCCCCAAACCCTAAACCCTAAACCCTAAACCCTAAACCCTAAACCCTAAACCCTAAACCCTAAGCCCTACTGTAAACCCTAAACCCTACCAAGGGCTTTCGGAGTTTGGGGCTTCGCATGGTCCTTTGGGTGTACGGCTGAGATAGCTTAAATGGAAACTCTGTAGACCCCCAGACCCTCAAACCCCCCAAGAAAGCCTCAACCCTGAAACCCTTAGCCCTAAACCCCAAACCCTAAACACCCCAACCCTAAACCCTCCTCAACTTCAGAGCCTTAACCCTAAACCCCACACCCTAAACACCCTGGCCTCTCCGGCTCGCCAGGGCTGTGCTTGGCTCTGCAAAGCCAAAGCTGGCCCCGCAGCCACCTCAAGGACGGGCTCTCAGGGATTTCAGGGTTTAGGGTTTAGGGTTTAGGGCTTAGGGTTTAGGGTTTAGGGCTTAGGGTTTAGGGTTTAGGGCTTAGGGTTTAAGGCTTAGGGTTGAGGTTTTAAGGCTTATAGGGTTGAGGGTATGAGCTGCAGGCTTTCGGGTTTATAGGGGTGTAGGGTGTTAGGGGTTCAGGGTTCACGGGGTTTAGGGGTTGAGGAGTCCATTCTTGAAAATAGGGTCCCCGAAAAATTTGGGTGGTCTTGTATTTTGCACCCTGACAGGGACCAGAATTGACCATAAAGTGTTAGGGGGTTAGGAGTTCAGGGGTTAGGTGTTTAGGGTGTAGGGGTTTAGGAGATTAGGGTTAGGGGTTTGGCGTTTAGGGGGTTAGGGCTTAGGCGTGTAGGGTTTAGGGGTTGGTTTAGGGGTTTAAGTTTCGGCCAACGAGCCTAGACGGTTCAGGGTTGAGGGTTCTAAAGGTTAAGGTTCAGAGGTTAGGGTTTAGCCCTGGGCAGTCAGGCGATTTTGGCTTCTAGAGCTGGATTTAGGCTCGGTTTAAAGTAGGGTCCTTTGGCTCGCGTCTCAGACTCAGTCTCAATCTCAATCTGAATCTAGTCTGAATCTCAGTCGGCCTCCGTCTCCGTCTCAGGGCCAGTCTCCCTCTCTGCCTCTCTCTCTCTCGCTCTCGCTCTCGCTCTCGCTCTCGCTCTCGCTCACGCTCTCTCGTTCTCGCTCACGCTCTCGCTCGTGCTCTTTCTCTCTCTCTCTCGCTCTCTCGCTCTCTCGCTCTCGCGCTCTCTCGCTCTCTCGCTCTCGCGCTCTCTCGCTCTCTCGCTCTCTCGCTCTCGCGCTCTCGCGCTCTACAGGGTTGTTAAAACACCACAACTGCTGCTAAAAAAACAGACGCCCAAACCACCCCTAAAGCCCAAAAAAACCGAGCCAGGATGCTCCAGAAAGGCGTCGATCTCCGTGGCGCCCGCCGGGTATGGGTGGCCCAACAACTCCAGCAGCTTCTTGCGCTCCTCGAAAAAAATTTCGGAGCCTCCCTCCCAAAAACCCAAGCCCTCAACCGTAAAGAATAGGACTTACATCCTGCCTAAGACCCCTAAACCCTAAACCCTAGTCTCTAAACCCTAAACCCTAAACCCTAAACCCTCAACCCTCCGCAAAGCTGGCTTGGTGAAGAGCAAAGGCTTGGCCTCTGAGCAAATGTGGATGATGGAGGTTAACTTAGTTGCTGAGTTCATAGGCCCCAAAAAAGTCTACACTTTCAGTTCTATAGGTGAGTATAGTGTCCCACATTCAGCTACTAAGTGAGAGTGTGAGCAGGTGAGTCAAGAGGGCACGTCAGGTCAGTGAAGCTCTGAAGGCGAAGAGCAGCAGAGCATGTGCACATTCCAGCGGGTCCATTTCTTAGCGCGCCATTCAGTAGCTGTGTACCGAAAACACCGTCTAAACAGGGTTGTTGGCCTGTTATGGGAGTACCTAAACCCTATACCCTAAATCTCCTACCTCTGGGGCACGTGAAAAAAAGGCCCAAAGACCAATCCAAAACCCTTTGGGCTTTAGGTTTAGGGTTGCGGGTATGTAGGGCTTAGCGGCTTAGGGTTTCGGGCTTAGGGTTGAGGGCATGCAGGGTTAGGCTTTATAGGGGGCTTAGGGCCCCAGGCTGGCCACCTGGTTTCTGTGGAGCTGGCTCGGGAGGAGGGGAGGCACCTCTTTCGGTTTTGGGGTTCAGGATTTAGGGTTTAGGGCTAGTCAGGGTTGAAGATGTTGACCCGAAGCCCTAAGCCCCTGAACAAGCTCAAAACGGCGGTTTGGGGTGTAGGGTTTAGGGTTCAGGGGCAATGTCTCTGGTGCACTCTAGCAACCAGGTCCATGGCAGCCCTGCGAAAGGACACACACACACACACACACACATCGACACCATACGCGCTACAAACGAGGTCTAGTTCACAGGGCCGCTAGTCCCCAAGCAAAGCCTTCTTAAGCACAAATGGAGCCTGAATAACCCTAAACCCTATAAACCCTAAACCCTAAACCCCTAACATCAACTCGAACCCCTTCCCCTCCCCCTCCCCCTTCCCCCCGTCCCCCCAAAAAAGGAAGAAAGCTCCCGAGCCATGCAAGATGCGGCTGGTCCTTGACAGTCAGCAAGGCTGTGTCCCGGAGATGCACCCGATGTCCTCCGGTTTAGGGCTTAGGGCTTTTTGGCTGTTGCAGGTTTAAGGGTTTAGAGTTTAGGGTTCAGGGTTTAGGGCTTAGGGTTTAGGGGGTTTAGGGTTGAGATGTTCCCCCGTATACTAACAATCCTTAATCGGGATCATAATAGGGGGTACCAGGTTGAGGGGCACGTACTG